TCCTAGAAATCAGTTTGTCACAGAAAAACACAGAATTTTCATTTTTACAGAGAAAAAATAAAAACATATATTAACTATTAACTACATTTTACCTATTCGATGCCTGGCTGGGGCTCAGGCAATTTATCTGGGCAGCTGGGGCTGGGACTGGGGCTGAATACCCAACTTCTGCCAGTGTCAGCCCTGGGTGACTGGTGGTTCAGTTAGTACAAAGAGCTGGATAATGGAGACCTTGATAAATGTGGTTCTACTGTATATCAATAAAACATTGTGTTCAACTGATACCTATGTATATTGTGGCTAGAGAAACTAAAGTTCAGCATTACATTTTAATCATGGAAAAACATGGATTTTTTTGTTTTTTTATCAGAGAATTTTGGGGGTTTTTTATCACAGAAAATTAGGATCCTTGTTTATCACCTTTCATCTTGATGGATCGTAACATGTTTCACAATCCTGCAAAAATTACTGACCATAGTGTGTACAAACAAAGCCATTGAAATAATGGTGATGTAGTAAACATAAAATCTGGTAGTGTTTGCAGTGTTTTAGGCTGCACAGCAGTTGGGATGTGGGCAGGGGGACATTTTTGGCTAAGGACACTGGGTGAAATCCCCACTCTTGTGAAAAGTGTTATAGGATTAGGGTGACCAAATAGCAAGTGTGAAAAATTGGAATGGGGGTGGGGAGTAATAGGAGCCTATATGAGAAAAAGACCCAAATATTGGGACTGTCCCTATAAAATTGGGACATTTGGTCACCCTATATAGGATTTTTTATGATTACTATTGGGGGGTGGAATTTTTAGCATATCATTAAAAATACCCCCACCACTGAAACTGCATGGTATTCAAATTATCTATGTCTGAAAGACTAAGAGCTTAGTCAGGATTTAAAGTTGTGGTTCTAGAGAATTCTGGTATTCCCACCTGATTCCTAGATTCACTTGATTTTCCTTCTAGCCTGCTAGAAAACTAGCTGCATATATTTAAACACATTTGTGTGTCTTCAAACTGGAGGCTTCCACATAAATAATCTATACAACCTGCCTAAATATATGATATTTATCCATGCCCTAAATACAGACCTATACAATGGTCTATAGATAGACATACTGTATTGCATCTGTGAAAAACACAGTTACAATGAAAATGTATCCTTATATCTAGGAGCCAGAAATTGTTTGATTAAAATATGTCCTTAACTTTTTATACTTTAAAATTCATTTATATAATATTTACCTTTTCCATAGCCCTTCTTTCTTCCTTTTTTATTAATTAATTACCTATAGCAACACCCACAGAGTATCAATGGGTCAGTCTTTGATGCTTCTACTGCAGGTGTCATGTAAGGTTAGGACATTAACATAATATCTCAATTCAGCATGATTAGCTCATTTTAACTACTTGTAATCATACCATCCTGTTAGTAATATTATTGCAGGGCGTGGCTCCCAAAGCAGATGTGAGAAGACAAGTCATTGCTGATTACTGTGACTGGTAGTAACCTGTACCTTTTCATATTGTGAATAAAAAATCTAGCTTGGTTTCTCAAATAGTGATTTATATCACAACATCAGCTGAATAATGTCACAGCTGTGAGTGGGACCTTTGCATAGACGTTTGTAATATGGTCAGCCCATTATTTAACATCATATTGTTTGTTCATTCCTATATTTCCATGTTCTAATATGAGTCAAATTGTATTAGACAAGAGCTTTGTAGTTTACTGTGTTTGCTAGCTTCATGTTACATTTTTGCCTGTGTTAAACCATTTTGCATCATCTATTATCAGTGTCTGTGAAACAGGGGCAAGTAGTGTAAGTAGCCAGATGTCCTAAGCCTAAAAAAATAATAAAAAGTATTAATAAACATAAAAAATAGCATAGTCCTAGAAAAGCTAAAATTAGAAACAGAAAAAACACTTCTAGACAAAATTACAATTTTAAAGACTGCAGGTTCCACATTAATTTTTTTTAATTCCACTCCTATCTCCAGCATTGCTCTAAATTAACTTTTGGAGAGATAACTGACAAGAAGAATGCTGACATCCTCTGTCTATCTACATAAAGACTAGTATGAACAATCATAGTCAGAGTTTTCTAGAGTATACCGCCAGTATTCCTGAACACTAAGCTGGAGGGGCCATTCTTTTAGGGGTGAGAGGGTAGTTCAGTGTCCAGGCTAGTGAACTCTTAAACCTTTTTGGCAGAGAAATTATCAATTATGATGGTGGTTTTAGTTATGCACACATCTGTCCACTAGCAACTGGAGTGAAACCATCAACAGATTACTCAAAGTAGCAATCTGCTAGAAGTAACCAACAATCACTAGTGATCTGGGTTAGCTGTGAACTAATGAATGACCACATAAGTGACTGGTGTGTATTCCATTACCAATCTCCTGAGCCCTAAAGTCCTCTCTGAAAAGTTCTGTGTTGTGACACATCTAAATAGTTTACAGATCTATATAATGTCTGTATTGCTCTTCCCTTTTTATATTGTAATAAAAACATTTGCATGAAAACACTATCTTTGGATGAAATTGATTCCATCCACCTAGAGCCCAAGTGTCTGGGCTCTATGCAAACACAGTGAAGAGCAGTAAGGAAGGTGTAATCCATCTCCCCAGCCCTTAGGCTGGACTAACAGCTGTAGACCTTCCATGCCAATTGCATGGGATACAGAGGCCACTGGATCAACATAAACACAAATCCAGGGATCCTTCTCTGGCTCATCTTGAAATGCCCTGGGACTGCTAAATGGCCTCTGTGCATCAGTCTATCCATGGGTGGTGCTGAGCCCATTTCTGTGTCATGTAGGACGTGTGTAGTGCCCTCTATGGGCATGCAGACAGTTGACCTCCCCCAGAGACCCCATTCAGAACATTATGTGGTACTATCTTTCCAACCAGGGATGAACTTCACTTTTTTTTTTAAATAAGATGTGTGCTGGTGGTGTTTCTGCTTATTCCTCAGATTAATTTATATTTCATTAATTGTGGCCTCACAATCAGTTGGTATGGAGCCACAAATGTCTCAAACAGGATTATGCTTTCAGATGAGGAATAAGCAGCAGCTGGAGTGGATGGGCCAAAGATCCGGTTTTCATAGGAATCCTGTAGTTATGTCCCAAAGGGAGAGGTAGGAGCGGTAAGAAGTCTTCTCTCCCCCTCCCCCAGTATTATGGTTCTGAACTCTTTCATTTACCATCTGTATTGTACACTCTATAATTAAATACAATTAAAGCCTGGGATACACTATAGAAATTCCCTCTTCAGATACAGCCAAGAAAAAATCCTACTTGGAAACAACTAGCTTCCGTATATAATTAATTCCATTCCCATTGACAAATCCCAACTTTTGGAGCAACTCCACACCTTTTAGCAGGGCATAAATACTATACATTAAACCTATGGGTGTTGTGTTCCACCAGGAATAGAGAGGAGAGCTATTGAAAGTGCAGAAATATCTGCTTGAATTAGTAATAGGCAGGCCATTCCTCCAGTTCTAAGCCGGACTGTCCTGTTTTTTCCCCCCAAGGTTTGTCCCCTGTCCAGTACTGGTATAAAACTGGATTTGGTTTTGTCTGATATTGCCTCATAGGATGGAGGCTGCCATTTTGAAGACCACGCCACTGGTGTGACCTTGCACGAACCATGCGTGCAAGATCATGACAGCAAGGGCGGGGTCATGAAGACAGGGGAGGGCCGATGCCGTTTTCAGAAGTACCAGAATGTCCAGTGTTCTGGGCATACACCAGTGGCCACCCTAATCAGTAGTGGGGAAGGGGTCAGTTGGAGAACATAAACCATGTGCAACTTTACTTTCATTTTAATAATGGCTATCCTGCAGTCAGGGCCGGCTCTGGCTTTTTTGCTGCCCAAAGCAAAAAATGCCCGGCTGGCTGGAGCAGCAAGCGGGGGGGGG